GATTTTAATTAAATAAAACCCGGGCGTGGCATTCTTTTTTATTATAGAACTTTTGTTTAATCGGTTAAAAACGTTGAAAGCACAGTACCTGTGCCTTTTTCTTTTTTTTTTATTGAAATATAAATGACAAATGAGCACACAGTGTACTATGCTGGTGGCCCATAGACATCTATATGCTAGACTAAGATGGAATTTCTGGATGAAACCAGTGGATGTCCAGCAGCAATACGCAGACCACGCATATACACACGCATACACACACTAGAGGAGACTAGCTCATCTGTGTGGGACAGAATTATAGTGCCCGAGTGTGTGCGCAAATACAGGTGCACTCTCTATTCCCTCATCCTCATAGTGCAATAGGACGGCAATCCGACACAACCAGATTCAGATCAGGTTTAGAACCAACGGTTTTAAGTGCGTTCCGAGTCACAGGAGTGAAACACCGACAAAACCTGACTCCGGGCTATAACTGAGAATTTCTTGACAGAAGAAACCCAATAACTGGTTTTGGTCCAACCTGGGATTCGAAACGCGGACCTCATTTACTCACAAAGCAGTGAATTACAACAGAAGCCGCTAAAAGCGTTAATTACATACATATGTAAGGAAAAGAGAAAAACTAAAGATACAGTTAATTTAAATAACTTATTAAATATTCGTAACGTTAGATAAGTTTGTTAAATATTTAGGTAAGTCGCATTTACTTAATTTTAATTGTTAAAAATAATAATTGTGTTCCCGGCACTCCAAGTTTACTGATATGCTTGTTTTATTAGCGGTTCACGAAATTAAGTACTTGGTAGATTCGAAGCCACGACCTTTTAAATTTACAGTCCATACCCTGACCATTAGGTTATTGTTGTGAACCGTTACCGTTACAATTGCAGCCTAATAAAAGTTCACTGAACATGGATATGGGCATGATTGCTTCATAGGCTTTTTAAATGTTTTAATTAAGGAAGACACTATGGCCCATCTCCTGGTTTGTTTCCCTCTATTGCCTGTTACGGCATTCAGGGGACGATATGAGATAGGAGATATTCTTACACAACTACTTCACGGTGGACTGTCGGAAACTATCGTACGTGGTAGAGCCATAATGCACGTATATTATAATTGTAGCACGAATGGGTCGGCTATACTGGGGAAGGAAAACGCTCTCACAGAATACCAGCGTCAAATAATAGCTTAATGCAGCTGTTTCGTATGGTGAGTGTAGAGAACCAGAGACCCTTTTACTGGAAACAAAGCATTCCATCTTAGCCCTCAGGGATGATAATGAGTATCAATAGGCCATAGCATCCGCTTACCATCAGGTGGACTGACTGCTTGTTTATCAGCCTTATTCTATAAAAAGATACCATAGAAATCCAAATAATATTTACTTCATAAAACATTAAGATTTCTGTAGTCGTAAATATATTTACAGTGTAAAATATTTTGTATTTTAATTTAAATTTAGAGCACGCGAATTAATATTAAGACTTAAGCATGCAATATATAAGACAGCGTAATCCGGATTTCGTGTAGCATTAACATGCACTCAGCATGTACAAATTTTACGTTTATTGACAGTGCAAGGTAGCAGCAAAGTTAAACTTTTTTTTTGTAGAATAAGGGAGACAAACGAGCACATATTCCACCTGATGATAAGTGGATATTGTGACCAATATACATGTGTATATATGAGTATCCTCGGTTAGGAATAAAACTGCAGATACGTTGTCACCCTTCCAGTATAAGTTTGCGGTTCTCTACACTCACCATACGAAACCCAGCAACTTGATCTCTTATTTCACGCTAGTATTCTGTGAGAGCGTTGTCGTTCCCTGGTTGAGCAGACCTATTCGCGCTACAACCATAATATAGTTGCAGCATGGTTCTACCATGTGTGGAAACGTTAGTAGTTAATGTAATAAAAATAACAAATGTTATTAGTTATGTCAGGTTATGTGTTTGATTTTTAATCAAAGTATCTGCAACCTAAACGACCAGGTATTTAACTGGTATACAAAATGCCAAAATCACCGCATATCGATACCAACAGAAAACTTTTCGAAGAATCTTAAGATATTTAAAAACATTCTCTTTGTGTATTGGAACACGACTAATCGTTTAAAAGCCTTGCAGAGCCATATCGCGCTTATCTCGGATCCCTTTCTTTGAGGATTCAATTAAAATCGATCGCTTCACCGTTTTTCAGTATCAAAGCTAAAGGAGTACCATCAAAAGACGTCAAACGTAATCAATTTTACAAATATCCCCTTGTATACTCGCCTTTTTCTTTCGCCCAGATGAATCTCCGTAAACCTTCACACAGCTTAGCCGTGAACCATTTTGAACTAAACCATACCGGTTGATATTAAAATTCAATTTACAATTATCACTGCTGTGGAGTTACGATGTTTAAAATATTATAACCAAATATGATAACATTGTGTGAAAGTATCAAAGCTAACTTTATTAGTAATCGGAAACAAAGATAATTGCACGTAAATATGTGGATTTAAGAGCTATTCTCGCAAGAAACGTAAAGGTACTTACGCCGTATCGTATCTAATACGGCGTCATCAATACAGTATCGTTGCCTTATCGTTATAACATGGTATTAAGACGGAAATCGTTCAAGGAAAAAATTGTCTAATAAATGTACTGAGTTTGCGGCATCCTATTCACGATATTGATAGGCTTGTTTATTATAGTATTTCTTAATTCCTTTTAGATGGATTCTTTTTTTTTAGTATTAGGGTAACTAGCATCACAGTCCATGTGATGGTAAATGAATACTGTGCTCCATAGACATCTAAAAATATCTTTGATTCAGATCAAAATCCTGTCGCATTGTCATCCCTAAGGACTAAAATGGAATGCTTAGTTATCAGTGAAAAGGGTATTTGGTTCTCTACACGCACCATACGAAACATAGCAGTATAATATTCTGCTGTTTCACACCGGTGTTCTGTGAGAGCGTGGTCCTTTCCCGGTAGAGCCAACCAATCGTACTTCAGCCATATATAGCTGGAGTGTGGATCTACCACATAAAAAAAACTTATGTACGTAATTCCCACGAAAAAGATTACATAATGATCTTATGTAGACTTGATTTTGTTGTTCATTACATTGTAGGTACATAATGTTCTCCACACCGAATTTCGGTCACGGCGGCGAATCTGAACGGATACAAGCCATATGTATGCGCAAACATTCTTTATTCCCTAATTCTCATAGTCCAGTGAGACGGTAATCCGACACGACCGAAGAAAGATCAGACGCAGCAGCAACGTCTTCACGTGCTGTCCGAGGCACGGCGGTGAAACACCGCCAACTTCCTGACTCCGGGTCACTGTTGAGAATTTCATCTCAGAAAAACCCTATACCTGATTTAACCCAGCACCTCACGATCAACAACTGCGTTTACGACCACGACACCAACGGGGCAGTCAAAGACAAAAGGGTTAGGACCCCTGCATTGTGTATGTACTTAATTAGCGGCGCAAGTACACGACAATTCTTACCTGAATCAGTCTGTTGTCGATGCAAAAGCACTAGATGGAGTGACGACCTGGTTAGACATGCGAGAAGTCGATAGATACAAGCGGTTCGGGACCATCCTTTGTGGCATTCCTTGTGGGAGGGTTATGTTCGACAGTGAACTTTTGAAGTTGCAGGCGGTTCACGACCGTGTTTCATGACATTATTTGGGGAGATATTCGTTTAATAATGGATTTGTGATGGGCAATATTGATGATGATAACTATGAAATTTATTGTGGGTCATTTCTTTCATCTTGTTAGATATTAACTCTGCGACAATAGTTATGTTTTTTTTATCGAAGTAACAAAAAATGTTTAGAAGTTTAAGTTAGCTGAACATATTATAGTGTATAGCCGCCCTATAAATCGTAATCAGGATAATTTATATTGCGCCGATAGCTCAGTTCGGTACGATAAAGGCGCGTGTACATTATTAATGTGCCCTCAGATCGCTCCCGTCTTGTGATCTTCGATGATGGCCTCATAAATAAAGGCATTTCATATTAATTATACGTTATTTACTGTACCCCATTTCGCAAATGATCGGAAGGCTGTACTATACCATAAAATAATTTAAAATTAAAAATTTTGTACAGCCGACTTCAATATAAGTTATTTAAGAATAACTTAAAAACTATTGGTCTGACCTTGATCAAATTCATATGGGACCACACGAGAAGTACCAGCTTTCAAATAAAAAAAGAATCATCGAAATCGGTTCACCCAGAAAAAAGTTCTGAGGTAACACACATAAAAAAAAAAACGAAAAAAAAAACATACAGTCGAATTGAGTACCGGCTCCTTTTTGGAAGTCGGCAGAAAATAGATTAACTGTGATTTTTATCGATTTGAGATATTACGTGTATAGTATTTTTTAGACAATTCAAAAAGCCAATAATATCAGTAACTACCTGATTGTGAGTGGCTACTGTAGACAATTTACATTATAAAAGGTTGACAAACGCTGTCACAGAATACCAGCTTAATGCTGCTGTGTTTCGTATGTTGAGTGTAGAGAACCGGAGACCCTTTTTTACTAGAAACGAGGCATTCCTCCTTAGTCCTCAGGGGTGACAATGCATCTCCATTTTGCATCTTAATCGAGGATAAATGTTAATGTCTGAGGGCTACAGTAAGTTTGTCAAGTTATTTTATTAAAAAAAACCCACTAGTCCTCAACGGACACAATGCTTTCAGTTTAAAAAAGACATTGTCAATTTTTTAATATAAGAAGGAGCAAACGAGCATGCAGCTCACTTACCGCCGCCCATGAACAACTGCAACACCAGGGCAATTGCAGATGCATTGCTGGTCTTTTAGAAAAGAGGAGGCTGTTTTCTTGTGGGTCCCTAAATCGTATCGGTCTGGAAAAATCGATGGTGGTAGTCGATTAGCATCATACATCTACAAATTACATCTGTAGACTATTATTTTATTGTTATTTTTTCTTGTTTCAGATCAAAAATGCCTGCGACGAAGGATCACTCTTCCAAGTACTCGTACAGTCGATCCATTTCACACAGTAAGTATAAAAAAATATGGGCGGGGATCATTGGGTGGATAAGTTCTTGACGAATGGGTCAGCACGACCGGGGAAGGACCACGCTCTCACAGAATACCAGCGTAAAATAGCAGCTCAATGCCGCTGTGTTTCGTTTGGTGAGTGTAGAGAACCGGATACCATTTTCACTGGAAACGAGGCTTTTCATTTAACTCCTCAGGGGGGACAAGGCATCTGCATTTTGATTCTTAATTTTAGCATCCACTTACCATCAGGTGGACTGTGTGCTCGTTTGTCACCCTTATTTTATAAAAAAGATCTCATCTGAAGATAAGTGGTTGCTGTGACATATACATCTATCCTCAATAAAGTATTAAAATGCAGATGCGTTGTCACCCGTGAGGACTAAGATGGAATGCGTCGTTTCCATTAAAAAGGGTCTCCGGTTCTCTACACCAACGGCACGCTTACGCTGGTATTCTGTAAGAGCGTGATATTTCCCCTGTCGAGCCAACCCATTAGTGCTACAACTATACTACTAATATAGCTGCAGCATGGCTCTACTACGTATACATGGCTCTATCACGTTACAGTTTCTACCATACCAATAAATCAATGGTATCGATCGATGTCATGTCATGTAATCCAGAATGGATTAGTCGACGTCGATCGAGCTCCTTGATTATTCGAGAACCCGTCCCGCTCCACCGACCACTCCCAATTGTTCTCTTCTGAATACATTTTGAAAGATACTGATGATGAGTTCACAAGGACATCGGTTAATTGTCGATCGACGTTGCTCGATGATTGAACAACGTTTTATCGACCAGTACGAGTACCCGTCGATCACCTATTACCACACCAATCGATCGACATCTAGCAATGGCTTCGATCGACAATCGATCGTTTGGTGTGGTAATACCCTAAATGAGCCGGCTCGACCGCGATGGGACTATCATCGTCATCATTACAACCCTTCACAAGTCCACTGCTGAACATAGGCCTCCCCCAAGGAATGCCACAAAGCACGGTCCTGAGCCACCTGCATTCATCGCCTTCCTGCATATCTTCCCAGGTCGTCCTCCATCTAGTAGGGGGTCGCCCTATACTTCGCCTACTGGTACGTGGCCGCCACTCGAGGGCCTTTTTCTCCATCGGTTGTAGGTTCTTCGAGCTATATGGCCGGCCCATTGCCACTTCAGCTTACTAATCCGTTAGGATATCCTCATTTCTAAGTTTATCACGCAGAGAAACCCCGAGCATAACCCTCTCCATAGCTCGCTGAGCGATATAACTATACTATACTGATAGGACTATACTATCATAGAATTATGCTGTGTGTCGTATAGTGAGTATAGAGAACTGGAGATCCTCTTTTCATGTAACGAGGCAATTTTAGTTCTCAGGGATAACAACACATTTACAATTTGTTTCTTAATCGAAGATAGATGTAATATCTATGGACTGCAGAGGCAGAGTCCCACGTCCAGCTTCACTTTCGGGCTAATGGAGAACAAGAAGTGTTTAGTACTCGAGGCTCTTAACAACCATGGTTTAAACGTTGTTTTTATACTCTAAACAAATGGATTGGACCGGTTGGGTGGCATCACACTAAAAACACGTTGCGGTTAACCGCCCCAGCGGTTAACCACTATTTCGTGTGAACGATATCACTATGGCTGACTTTCCTGCAATCTTATAGATACTACAATATAAGGACCAGTCAATGCGTAATTTTACTATTTCAAACACTTATACACACACTAATAGTGTTGTAAACAGTAATCGTTTCTGACTTACTTCCGAAATTGATTTCGAATTCGATTCGGTTCTCAATTCAAATTGACATTCGAATCGAGAAACACGATCGAGTTACGATCAAGTGTATCAGCGCCGTTAGGCACATTCGGATATTATTTATTTAGATCAAGAAAGAACATTATCTTAGTTTGCGATTGCTAGCGCCATCTAGTGACAACTAAAGTGTTCCATTTTGATAATTCCAATTTGAACCACCATTCGATTGTGTGCTACGGTTTCAGGAGTACGAAATTACTTTGAGTTCGAGTGTTGATTCAGAACTCGATTCTCCCGGAAGTAGAACGGCTTTATAATCAGCGCTGTCTTCTTTCATGGTGACAATTAAAAATTCTTACAATTAAAAATGCTATGTTCTTTACAAAGTAAATATAATTTTCTAGGTGGAATGTCCATGTCAGCGAAGGTCTACCACCCGGCCACCAACTTGCTACCACCGTCACCACCTCAGTCACCAACCGGAGTAGCGCCGGCCTTCGGCTCCAGCACCAGATCAACCAACACATGGACCAGGCAAAACAGTCAAAGCAACGGAAAATATTCGTGATAGAATGAAAAAAGAAGAATCTAGAAATAAACTACTCGTCTCTTGATTTGTGATGCCTGATGCGCGAACGCGACATTAATTAAAATGTGGTATTACAAAAAAAATTAAAACAAATAAATGGCGGAAATTTTGACAGGCGCCATTTGCAAAAACGTACGAGAATTTCTTTCTAATTTTATATGTTTGTAATCATTAGATTATGCAATTGTGTATAGTAAAGTTTAACAAATCATCTATTTAAAACCTATTAAATAGAATAAGAACTTTGGTATGTAATGAAAATATCCAAACTTAGGTATTTATCTAATTTATTAGTTACAAAGAAAATAATTATCTATAATAATACAATCATACAAAATAATTGTTATTATGATGTTTGGATATTAGATTCTCAATCACGCATTTAATATGAGATTAGAATAGAATAGTATAGAATCATTTTTATTCAATATAGATTAGAATACATAATACTTATTGAAAGTCATTTTTACTTTTACCACTGGTTCGCAAAAAACCTCTGTGCTGTGACGAACCAGCGAGAAACCCAGCCGAACGTTTTTTTGTAAAAAGCACAATTTACAATATACTATTTTATACAATTGTTATGAAAACATTTAGAAACAACATGGTAGCACCATCATTCTATTATATGAAATACTATATTTGTTAAAAAAAAAGGTAGCAACCATAGGCGGAAGTTAGATTTTATTATAAATATATTTAATTTACTTTCTGAAAAAAATCAAATCAAATCAAAAATAATGTTATAGAATATAAATACAATAGGCGTATAATATAATATATTTTTTATGTAGGTAACACTTTTATTGAAGAAAAAAAAACATTGTCGGTTTGCAGATAAATTAAGTAAAAGAACTTTTTTAAGGTTAATATTAACGCCCATAGTATTTTATGATAATAAATCGCTAAATGATTATCAATATTATCTGTAATAATTGATTCAATGATAATTTGTCATATATCAGATACACATTAATGTATGAATGTTAAATTTCAATTATACTCAACATTAAATTACATCCGCAATGCTAAGGACTGAATTCCTAAATTTTGATTAAATTTTCAGTATTCCAAATATTTTTTACATTATTTAATGTCTTTGCAAAAGAAAAACAAATCGTTTTAAATCACTTAATATTTTGTGGGAGAACTCGTAGCTACTTAGTAGGAACTACGTCTAATTTATAATTACATAATATTGTAATATACTTGTAAGAAAGAAAAATAGAAGAAAATAATAAAAGTACTCGTAGAGCCTCGACGTAATCGACATGGTTATCATCGTCAACCTCATCATTGACCTTGTCGGAAGACGACAACAAGAATGGAAAACGACAGAACATTCTATTAAGTTCCTATGGTTTCCAGTAAATGGCGGTTTGCTCATCATGTATATATGCCATATTATATAAAATACCCAGGTCACTGGGTAAATGGGGCAACATTTTATGAAAAAAATTATCATGTTTTATGAAAAACATAATGGTAGAGATGCCTGAAGGCATCAACTTTTGCATTCTTTAGCAATAAATATTAAATAAATAAAAATAAACTTGTGATTTGTGGGCATAAAAAATTTAAAAAGTTACCGAAATAAATATTACAATGGTGTCGTGTGCTTAGCGTCACGTTTTAGTGACGTAATACATAATATAGAATATTAAGTAGTCTAATTTTGTTTATATTATTGAAATAAATTTGTTTCTTTTGTATAATTTTGTTTTAATTTTCCCTGTGTGTACTTATGTACATTGTAGCGATGTCCGAAAGGCTACCCATGCTTGCCTCATGTTAGACCATGCGGCGGCCCTAGGCCCTACAAAGCTTAAGGGATTTTAACCATAAATTGTTTATGATAGATACCTTCTTACTGTATATTATACGATAGACCTAGCAGATAGTGTGTTAAAAATTGTATGAGACACTGGTCAGATAAAGTTAATTTTGAAAATATATTTTTTTATTTATTTACCTTCACATTTTTACGAGCTAAATTAAAATATAGTTTTTCTTTGAAAAATTGTTCTGTGACGGGAGCACTGTCGCGCGGAGGCCTAAAGTCTATACTACGAGTACGCCTATTTCATGGCCCTAGGATACGTGGCAAAAAAACAATTTGTCGCACACCACGAAAGCATAAACAGCACGTGGTAGAGCCACGCTGCAGTTACATTATGATTGTAGCACGAGTGGGTTGGTTCGACCAGGGATCATGGACGCGGACCAAGGACCACGCTCTCACAGATCTCCAGTGTTAAATAGTAGCTTAATGCTACTGTGTGTCCTACCTTTTTTTTTACATGGCGATATGCCTATGCATACCCGCCTCGCCGGGGCAAGGACGGGTTATGTCGGACTCGCACCGACTAAAACCCCATGGTGTTCCACCGTCGTCGCATATTGGCAGGACCACGGGAACGCTTTCGCACACATCCGCGGCCCGACCTGCGCTGGCCACCGCATGGCAGCCTCTACTCGGGAGAGAACTACTCCTCCCCCATCTCCTTCTCAGGTAAGGCGCACCAGAAGCCAGAACACATGGCGCGCCCTCTTCCTCGGCCTCCAATTTCCAATGCGCAACAGACGACCCCGTGTCCGATGCGTGAAGGTCATGGGGCCAGGAAAAAAAGCACCGGCCTTCGTGACCCCAGCGGCGGATCTGGCCTATGGCTCCGCCGCCAGCCAAGATTCGGCTGCGGAGGGTAGGGAGAGCGGCGCCTCGCAATACCGACACTCCTCTCCCCCCAGCCTCACCACCACCGTATTAACGGTGCGGCCCCGCCTGAGTCGCGGAGGATAGGCCGAGTGGCCATCGCCATACCAACACTCCTCTTCCTCCGCGACTCCACTCGGCTGCAGCGGTAGAGGGAGTGGACACCCCTTTCACCGCAGCCCTCCGACACACATCCGAAGTGGGCTCGTCAAGCCCACTTGGAGTGGCCACCTCGGGCCGGCCCTACACCACGGGCCAGCCAAGGGGTTCCTCTTTGTTCACCGTGGGTGACCAAGCCACGGCTACTAAGCCCCCCGCCACGACAAGGCGGGAACCCGTTCGGGGGAGAGTGTGTGTCCTACCTACAGTGAGCGTAGAGGTCCGGAGATTCTTTTCACTGGAAACGAGACATTCGAACTTAGTCTCCAGAGGTGAAAACGCTTCTGGCTTCTGCATTTTGATTCTTAATAGAGAATAGTTGTAAATGTCTATGGGCTACAGCATCCACTTAGCATCAGGTGGACTGTGTGCTGCTTGTGTTTGTGTGTCTAAAAGATAAGGATCAAATAGTAATATTGAGAATTTCAAAACATCAAGTGTTATCCCATAATTGATCGATTTTATTTTGAAGCAATGCTTGTGTGGTATATTATATTTAATTTTCATATGCGAATACCTTTTAATAGATATGTAGATTTAAAATTTTGTATAAAGTAAAATGTATAAAAACTCTTAGTGTTCCGAATAAAATAAATCTGATGCCTGGTTAACAGAGGATTTTTTTATAGAAGTGGTGCAAATGAGCATGTGGATCACCTAATGGTAAGAGTCAACTTCCAGTCCTATCAGACTCATAAACAACTGCAATACCAAAAGAATTGCAGGATCTTCAGTTCCGTCACTTACCATGTGAAAAGCATGGGTGTTGTGCTGCTACTTTATGCTGTAATGTGATGTTAATTAATGAAAGAGGCACATTTATGCATATGCACTGCATTCCTTACAAAATCCTGGTGGCAGGATCAACCAAATGTCTCGCACATTTGAGTCTGCTATAATAAGTCCTATATAAATAGGTACGTACATTGACTTACTACAGGGCAATGGGTACGTATTTTATTTTACTACATCTGGTATAAACTAGAAACACAGAACCGTAATATATAGTTAAAGAGCCATCTATCGGAAATCTAATCTAATTTAAATCTTATTTAATACGTGGTAGAGCCATGCTGCAGCTATATTTCTGGTATAGTTGTAACACGAATGGGTCGGTTCGACCGGGGAAGGACCACGCTCTCACAGAATGCCAGTGTAAAATAGCAGCTTAATGCTGCTGTGTTTCGTATGGTGAGTGTAGAGAACCGGAGACCCTTTTTACTGGAAACCGAAGCATTCCATCTTAGTCCTCACGGGTGACAACGCATCTGCATTTTGATTCGTAATTGAGTATAAATGTAGATGTCTATGGGCCACAGCAACCACTTATCATCAGGTGGACTGTATGCTCGTTTGTCATCCTTATGCTATAAAACAAAATCACAAGGCCTACGAGGCATAATTTATTTAGGTCGCCTGTTATAAGTTATAACACTGACGTATTATGATGACGTGTATGTTGAATTCACACGATGATGATGATTAATCTAAAGTTGCAGTCAATAACATCTTATTGTCTTCCTTTCACATAATTACAATTTACATAAACGTATAAACGCCATCTTACAGTATTATCGGTACAATAAGAGGAAATCAATTTTTGTCTTTAATTTTCGGTACCACTTTATCTGATGCAGTTATTATTACTTTTAGTAGATAAAATGTAGACAAACGTGTACATTTTGTAAGCAATTTACTTCTAATTAAAGATAAGCCTGTAGAGAAAATATAATGATAATTTATCAAAATATATTATTTTTATCATTATTTCCTACAGTGCCATCTTACGTGTTTTTGTTAAATGTTTACAAATAATCAATACACCGAATAACGACTATTCTTTATTGACATCTAGTGGTCATAATATGGAGTTATTTCCATCTTATATAATTACATTCTTTACAGCGCCATCTTACGAGTCCCTGTAACACTTATTTGTACATCATCAATAGTGTCATAGAGAGGTGACATCTAGTGATTACATGAAAAACTATTTCCTCGTGATAAATTGATTTCTAAGTTATATTTTGTGGACGCCGCTAGATGTCATGTTACAATAATTTTTCATTATTCATCATTATCATTACAGTCTAATAAAATCTAATGC